CTTCTGGAAATGCTGATACTGATCTATCTCCTTCTGTGATAGAATCAAACAAATGTTGAACAAGCTCTTCTCATTATAAACTTCTTCTTTCTTCTTCAGACGAGTTCTTCTCATTATGAACTTTCTCTGGAAAAATTGATGTTGATCTATCTCCTTCTGTGATAAAGTCAAATAAAGGTTGAACAAGTTCTTCCTCTTCAGATAAGTTCTTCTCATTACGAACTTTCTCTGGAAAAGTTGATGCTGATCTATCTCCTTCTGTGATAGAGTCATGCAAAAGGTTGAACAAGCTCTTCTCATTATGAACTTCTTCTTCCTTCTTCAGATGAATTCTTCTCATTATGAACTTTCTCTGGAAAAGTTGATCCATCGAGTGATGAATTTAAGCAAAAGGTTGAACAAATTCTTCTCATTATGAATTTCTTCTTCCTCTTCAGATATGTTCTTCTCATTACGAACTTTCTCTGGAAAAGTTGATGTTGATCTATCTCCTTCTGTGATAGAGTCATGCAAAAGGTTAAACAAGCTCTTCTCATTATAAACTTCTTCTTTCTTCTTCAGATGAGTTCTTCTCATTATGAACTTTCTCTGGAAAAGTTGATCCATCGAGTGATGAATTTAAGCAAAAGATTGAACAAATTCTTCTCATTATGAATTTCTTCTTCCTTCTTCAGATGAGTTCTTCTCATTATGAACTCTTCTAGAAATGTTGATCCATTGTTATGGATTTGAATCTTTGCTAAAATCTTTGAAATTCCTGTCAAAATTCAACATGGATAAAATGAATGAAAATGCACCTATTTTTGCAAATGCCTAAATATGATGCATGAATGTTAAGTTCATCTTTATTTGATTTCAAAGTGGTGAACTCGGTCTTCCTTCACTTTGGTCAAAATGTCATTTCAAGCTGGCATTTTTGATTTGGAAGAGCAATCTTTATGTCTTCTTTGTTTCATGATAGTCTCAGAAAAATGTTTCATTTATGGAACTCTTGCCGTAATCAAAATTATGATCTTGATGCCCCATTTTTATCTTTGATAACATCTGCTTTCTTTTCTTGGACTTGTGTAGAAATCCAATAAAGCTTTCATCTTTGAAAAGAGAATCTATCATCTTTGAAGAGTATAGATGTAAATATGCCTGACTCAGCAGGGATTAATTGGGAGAGTAGAGTATGTTCTGATTTAACTCTTGAAACACATCACAATGAGGATTTATCCTAATTCCTTTCACGTCTCCACATCTAATCAGATCTCAAACAAGGCAACTTGAACCATATCATGTCGAGATGCTTAACAACAATATGTTGTTCAACATTAGTTGACTCCACTATTTTCTTGTTGTTAAAATTTCAGCTTCCTTTCCGTAGAAAGAAATCTTCATCATATATCACTTCTAACCTTTGGGTTGAAAAAGACAAACTTCATCTTGGATTAATAAATAGAAACCATATGATCACAATATTGGTTCAATACCATAATTATTGGTTCATAAAACGCTTGACAACATATTCATCCAGCTTGTGACTTCTGCACAGATGCTATTTGACAACACATTCATCATTTCATGTGACTTATGCACAGATTTCTGGTCAGGGAGGCTATTTCGTAGCGCTCAGAACTTTCATATAACGTCACAAGATCACTTGAGAACAAAACTCAATAGGAATACAAATGAGATGCTGGTGTGACCAAAAAGTCGATCAAATTTGCGAGATATGCTAGTGATGAATTGAATAAGAGATACCAATTGATCTTGATATTGTCTCAGGCAAGGGTAAGTGTGATATGATCATGTTTTCTTCCATAACAAGTGTTGTAGGAATTAGAAACACATCAGCTATAGGAGCCATGTATAGAACGATATCAATGGAATTCTTGCCGCTGGGGATAAAAAACCCATGATAAAACTAAAATAGATGAAAACTCAGTTCACCCTGGCTGGCAATAATAACACCAGTAACAATGGGAATAAGAATAACATAAGCTGAGCCTCTTTATTCAATGTCATCAAGTAAAAAACAACTGATGTGAAAATAAAGCTTCGTAACCTCAATAATATGGTTGAAATTAACTGCCAGGAATCTCTAAGAAATATTTCTAATTATCACCAACACACGGAATACAAAATTCAAAGCTGAGATTTTGAGGAACTGAATCCTAGATCGAATGGTCTGCTTGGGGACCATCTTTATTCATGCAACCATGACGTAGCTTAACAAAGAACATGTTGTCATGTGATACATGGTTAAGAAGATTGGGTACTTGAAACCATACTTGCTGAGTAGATATTTGTTCAACAACATGATCAAAATGTAACTGCCTGATGAACGAAGCAATTATGTATAGTCAGCTCGACTGTCACTGTTTCACCATTTTCATTCTTCATATCTTTCTATCTCATTGGAAATGTTTTGCTCAAAGCAATGATCTTTAACACATAATGATGTGGGCCTTCAGCATGCCCCAACATTTGCTGATATGAATATTCAAAATGTTATTCCAATTTCTTATTAAAATAGGCTTTCAGTATGCCCCAGCATTTGTTGACGTGAATATTCAAAACGCGTCAATATTCTTGATTATGATTTAAATGGGTTTTCAGCATACCCCAACATTTGCTTCTTGTTGATATGAGCTTTCAAAATGCCCAAATATTCATACTGACGTGGGCCCTCAGAATGCCCCACGTGAATCATTTATGTCTGAAATGGGCTTTCGATATGCCCCAACATTTGCTAATACAAACGTTCAAAATATATCAATATTCCTGATTCTGATTGAAAGGGGCTTTCAGCATGCCCCATATGGATCTGTCTGAAGTAACCTTCAAAATGCCCTAACATTGTAATTCTGGTTTACTTTCATTGTCTGTTTGACTTGAATCACATGATCCCTACGAGGTTCAATTTTGACAATGCACTGTTATGGGTACTTGTGGCTTTATTCGTACCCCAAATCTATTTATCTTCAATACTCTCATTCTGGTGTCACTAAACAGCAGTGTTGTCAAGTAGCTGGAGGAATTCTCTTCATGTTGTCACACACTTAAGAAGTGCTTAATCATTCTAACTGAAATGTCTAAGATATGTGCCTCTTCTGAATGAGGTGCCCATTTTTTTGGATCTGGAGGGATCTAGTCAGACAGAGTAGTATAAATTGCTTGGTAATTCATTCCAGGCTGACATAGTGAACCTTGTTTTCAGTGAAGGCTATTTCTGGAATATACTTTTCTGTGGGAGATAAACCAATTTATGTGAACAGTAATCTGATGCAATAACAAGACTACATATACAGTGGTACATGCTTTTGAAAAATCTGCACCCATGCAACATGTTGATTCTGATAACTACTCATCTGATTATGAAGTGATCTTTCAGGATGATTTCAAAGATATTGATAGTTCTTCTGATACCGAGGAAATCCTGAATTCTGATTCTGATGAGGAGAATAAACTATTATACTTGACAAAAATGAGGTACTCAGAGACTGTGACCTCAATAGTCATGGAGAGATGTGGTTCAGATTCATCAATTACAGAGTTGACAGATTTTATATGTACTGCACAAATGGCTAAGGCTGCTGATGCACTTCTTTCAGGAGAAGATAGGAAGCCATTATGCAATGACCCCAATTACAAGAAAAGGCAAGACCCGAGCTATGATTTTTGGAAAAGGAAGAAGCAGAGGAAGCTTGAAAAGAAACTTCTTAATGAATACGATCATGCAGTTCATCTTCTAAATCCAATGATTGGTTTTGGGGTTTCTACCGAACCAGATCAGATAACTTAAAGAACACTTCCAGAAGATGCTATTGGGCCTTCTTATTTTTACTATGAGAACGTCGCACTTGCTCTTGTTGGTGTTTGGACCGAAATGTCACGGTACTTATACGATGTAGAGCCATAATTTGTAGATTCGACGTATTTTTGTGCTACTGTACGGAAAAGGAGCTATATTCATAATCTGCCAATTAAGAACAGATTTCCTCTTATTTTGCTTTCTCCATGCACCATACATGATGCTTTTCCATTGACAAAATGGTGGCCTTCCTGGGATCCACGAACAAGGTTGAACTATTTACAAACATGTACAGGAAGTGCCAAATTGACATAAAGGATCCGCAAGGTTCTTGAAGCTTGTGATGACGAGCCATCTTCGAGTGTCCATAAGTATGTTCTTGATGAATGCCAAAAATGGAATCTAGTATGGGTTGAAAGAAATAAAGTTGCTCCACTTGAACCTGATGAGGTGGAAATGCTTCTAGGTTTCCCTAAAAACCATACACGATGAGGAGGATCTGCTAGAGACATATTCCCCGGTGGTATCAATGTCCTGTCTCTTTTCTCTAGAATTAGTGATGCAGAGGTTGCCTTCTACTGTCTTGGCATACCTTTGAAAACAAATGTGCAAGAACTGAATGATGATCGGTTGGAGCAATTGATGAGTAGATTTAGCGGATTCGACCTTGTTGTCGGTAGCATCTTGTGTAACAACCTTAATGGAAGCACTAAACATCATCAAGATGGACTTGAGAATTTTTGTTGGTGCATTTTCTTGCAATGACTGCTACAGTGATTGTCTCTTCTGTTGCTCCAAAATACGCACTGCCATATCCCACTCTTCCCTAACTATGGAAAGGTTTAGCTGGTGGTAAAACGGGTTATCTCAACTTTTGGAATCCTGTAAGGCATACAAGTGTAGAATCTGTTCCAATGTCTTATTATGTGCCATAAGTTCTCAATTTCAAATTCAGCAATCTTCTGAAGGACATAATGGATATAATCCTGACAAGGAAAATAATCGGCATGGAAGAGGCAACAATAATGCATCAAGACTTGAACTAGTATCATAGTATAACCAAAGTGCAGATGGTGGACTTGTTCATTCCCATAATATACCTTAATGGGACTTATAACTCTGTGATGTAATCTTCTAGAGAACAAGGATTGATGGCTGGGGAAAATAATTTGTCTGGTGATGCTTATTGCCCTCAGCATGAGATAAGTGATAATCTTTCTTGATGGATTGCTAATAATGTCACAGGAGCTCGTTACAAGTTTAATTCTCCAGACTTTCTGGTTTCTTGGACCACTTGCTTTCAAGAAAGTGAAATGCTTCATCATTCTGCACTGTTTTTTTTTCTACAATAGAGGTAAAATAAACAACTTGCTTCAAGGACCTTATTCATTTGAGACTGTCTTGTTTGAAAATGTTTTTTTTCTCCTTTCTTTATTGAAGAATAAAAGAATTTTGTAGAATATTGCCTATCACAGGTTCACAATAAAATCAAATCATAAGCATGAATTTAAAAAATATTAAATAAATCAACTACTCTTTCAAATCATTCAAAAATCATAGTCCTATGGCAAGTGTCAAAATTATTGACTGATTTGAGGTGTAGGTTGATTATGATAAAGTAAGGTCTCTCAGGTTTGTCAAGCATATATGTCTTCTTTGAGCTTCTACTATCTTGAAGGAAGGGTTGTTATCTCATCTGATGGAGATATTTCGTGGTTCTCGAATCTCAAAAACGTCTTTGGGATGTGCGGTGCTTTATCAAGAGCTTAAGATCGTCTCTTATGTCATTGTTGCACCATTCAATATTCGAGCCGCCTTTTCAGGTTTTCAACTCGAATCCTCCTTTGGTTCTAAGATGTTATTTAAAAATTTACATCTTGAACCCCCCTTTTATCATTTTTCATATCATGCATTAAAGATTAAAAAACAATTTTGTAAATAAAAATCAATCCTGAGGGGCGGAATGAAATCTGAAGATAGTCCCTTTCACATATAAATCCATGTATGATTAGAATGGACTTTTCAGGTACGTAAAGTAGGCCAGGGTTCATGGTTATGAAAGAAAGGGATAAAAAGGCTCAAACAAGTGTTTTAAGGGTAATTGAACCAAGGATCAATTCATTCTGATGCCTTAAATCTTGCTTTGCTTGACTTGGATCTGCTTTGTTGGGGATTTTTCCATAAGATTCCTTCATCTCCAGTATTTCTTGTGCTTCTTGTTGAATATAAATTTTTGAACTTATTGTACTTGATCAATTTTGTAACTTGAGGCTCTATGAGTCACTCATCTTGGTTTAATTTTTTTCTTTTTTTTTCTTTTTTTCTTCTTTTTTCTTCTTTTTTTTCCTTTTTTCATTCTTTTTTTCTTTTTTTTCAAGCATAATATTTCTTGACAGAATCTGAGTTTATTTGGTTTCTCAGAACTTTCCCATCATTTCTGCCAATTAGACATCCATTTCTCACGGAAATCTTTATGTATAGGCAAGATCTTTTTAAACACTAGATCACCCTCTTGGAACTCTCTCGGATGTGATCTTTCATCATCCGTTTCTGATGCAGCTGCCGAGCTTGGATCCCTTCAGCCTCCTCTAATTTTAGCTCCTTTAAGATACAAAGTGATGGTATATCAAATTGGTAAGACTGAACAATAAGGTGTTGCCCCAGTGATGTTCGAACAGTATTTCGATATGCATATAAGGCAAAAGGTAGCTTCTCGTGCCAATCCTTGTAAGTTTCAGTGATCTTTGTAATGATCATCTTAATGTTCTTATTTGCTCCTTCAACTGCCTCATTCATCTTTGGACGATATGTCAATGAGTTTGCATGTTTAAACTGTGCACAAAGTTCAGTCGTCTCATATATAGAAGTCTTTGTGAAAAGATGTATCTCCAGGGGGATGAATATTCAAGATTAACTTTCATTTACATGAAAACAATGCATGATATATTTATTTAAATCAATCATTTTGTCTTCTTTGAGTATGCCCTAATCACTCGAAATTTTCTTCGATAAATTGATTCATGATGCCTCATATCGTCTTTTCTTGCAGGAAGATTCTCGGGTAATTAAAAGTTTGGTTTTTTTTGAGGTTTTTGGTTTATGATGGTTTTGTATTTGGAAGGACAAATGTGTGACTTATGAAGTCATGTATATGGTGGAATGTAGTGTCATCAATCAATTCTACCCAAGAATATAAACATCTAGAGTGAGTGTCTCAAAAACAGGTAGAGACATTTCTTCAGAGTCTCAGATAATTGTAGTGTCAGAATTTGGTTTTGGTACGGGTCGAGTAATTGGCGTTGGATGGGATATGGAAGATATAATTTTACCACTTGCCAAAGATCTATAACTCTTGAAAAATTTAAAAGAATATTTAATCTACTTGATACTCAAGAATTTCAAGATTAAAATTTAATTCTTTGTTCATAACCATAAAAGGAACACAAGTTTATTTATTGCACACAAGGCGGAGAAAGGAACAAAAAACATGTTCAAACAAGATGCTGAAAATAGAAAGTACTACAGTGGTAGATAACAACTTCCACTTGTTTATTTAGCTTGCATCTATCATTCCTCGAATGTTGGGTGTGTACTTGGCTCAGGATTCTCATCCTTATTTGTCCCCCATTTCTTGATCATTTCTTGTGTCAAGACTCCCTTGTCAACGAGCATCTCTATTTCTTTTAACAATGACCAGTAATTCCCTGTTGAATGCCCATATACTCCCAAGTGAAAATTACAGAAGCTATTTTGATCATAGCAATGGGCATAAGGCTTTGGTGACACTTTCACCAATCTTGGTGTAATGTATTGACCTTTAACCAAATGAGGGTACAGATATGAGATAGATTCTTGAAACACCTTCAGAGTTTTTCTCGCTCGAGAGATTATCACTTTCTTTGATCGTTCTGAACGAATAAATGTTCTCCTGTGATCGAGGGGGTTCTGGACGCTCATTTCAGCTGTAACTGGGGTAGTATTAATCAGACTCCTTAAGTTGCCCCTTGCCTTACTGGTTTTCAAAAAATCTGATATAGGTATCTGAGGTGTCCTCTGGATTACATCTGCCTCATTCTTTCTTAGACCTATGGGCCAATCTCGAATTACCTCTATGGGAGCCTTTTGATTTATTTTCCCCTTTTTTTTGCGCCCAATATTCTTCGCAGGATTTGGTCACATTAGTCTATGTTGAAGCAACGATTTCTGAGTATTGAATCTTAACCCCCTTCATTTATCTTGCATTCTTGAATTGCTTGCTCTAAGGGATCTTGGAAATTTCCCTCAAGGTTACTAGGAACCTTAGCTGAACAATTTGGAGTTTCAATGTCGTATATCCATTGAACACCCTTAGAGGTCCAATTCTCATTTGGAGGACATTGTGACTGAACAAGTCGTGGAGTAGTTAATATGGCTGAGAGCATTTTTGAATATGATTTTTCACATGAAAAGTGGAAAGGAGGAAATTGAAATTTATATATCCCTTTTCTTTGGGTAAAACTTATCTCTCACAAGTGAACTTTTTCCATTCATTGATTCTTCATTCACCATTAATTCATCCATGCCCCTCGGGACCAAATCTTGAAGTTGTCCTGAATTACCATATTCACTAATAGGTTCGTAATCATCAGATACTATCACGTCGAACTCATCATTATCATTCAGATCCTCATTCATAACCTTCACTGCAGAATCCTCTAAGGGTTTCTCTCCATGGATCATATCATTCATCATATCCATTAACGTGATCATTTGTTCTTTTGAATCAGCTTGGATCTTTTTTTCGTGATCAGTCATTTCTTGTTGAGTCTTGATAAGTTGCTCTTTCAGTTTCTCGATTCTACCAACCCTTGCTAAGATCTCATTCATGGCTCTTATTTTTCTTTAGAAAGACCAAGTTAGCTCCACTTTGATTTCAAAAATTCTGTCATGTAATCCTCCAAGAATTATTCCAAGTTGTCATGATTAAATGCATGTAAAATAGTTTGAAATAAAATGTAATTATATAAAAATGGAAATGCAAAAATGAAAATGTAAATACAAATGAAAAAATGCAAGGATGCAAATGTGAATATGTGAATGTAACAATAAGAATGCAACTTGTGTAATACAAAAGCAAACATAAAAGTATAAATACAAAACGAAAATGCAAAGATGTGAAATGCAAATGCATGTATGAAAAGGTGTTACTCAAGAGTGATCATCTTAGACCATATTTCATTGAACACAAAAGTTTCCGTGCATCAAACAAAATTTTTACATATAGGGGATAACTTTAAAGCCAAGTTAATTTTCATTCATGCTCAATAGTTGAATTATCAGTCTGCTTCAATTCCTCGTAAAGTTAGGTTGGTCTATCAGCTTATGGGTCATATTGCTTGTCTAGACTGCAGCTTCTTCCATGACATTCTCTTTCATCTTCTGTATCAATTCTTAGAGTTGCTTATTTTCCCTTGTAAGAGAACCTTTCTGTCCAAGAAGTTCTTGAACAAGGTCTTCATATAAGTTGCAGTTCTTTTTCAGCTTGATGACCCCTGTTATCCACTCTTCTGGGGTATTTCCTAGGTCAGCATTTTGAAAGGCTTGACTGATCTTCTGAAAATCTTCATGCATGGTTTTCATTTCTGTGCTCAATTTCTTGTTTTGGTCGTTCAAGTCCTTCAAATAACATGCTTGAGCTTCATAAAAACCTTCACTACTCTGAATGCCCTGACTGATGTTCTTACCATAGGCTTCTTTTGGTATCAATCTGGTAGGATCTTTGTGTAATACTTTTTGTATTAATATAACCGGTTCTCTATATACAGAACTTCCTTCGATCCTCGTAGTTTCTTCAGGATGTCTTTCCTTGGCCGCATCATATTTTGTTTGATCATAAATTTTTTTGTCCATTTACGATTTCTTTCCAATTTGACGAACATTCTTTCAAGTCAACACCTTTTGATTATGTCATGATTATGTAATGCAGACAAAAGAATATAAATAAATTAGAGCAATGTAACATGCATGGAAAAATAAGAAAACAAAAATAGAATAATTAGTACCAATTAATGGAAAGAAAAATTCTATTTATCAAGGTATAAATCCTAACCTCATGCTTTCTAGTTCCATGTTTTGTTTAGAAAAATTAACTTAACAGCATGATTACTAGTTCGCAGTCATTTATTCAGAGAGAAAAATAATAAATTAAATAAATTAAAAGGTAGAGCTTATTTCT